CAACCCAACCTAAGAGCGATGGCCTCCAACCTACTAGGGATGGCCTCGAAGCTACTAGCGATGGCCTCTAACGTACTAGCGATGGCCTCCAACCTACTAGCGATGGCCTCGAACCTACTAGCGTTCCTCCAACCTACTTAACTCAGTTCTAGATCAACTTCCTGAGTGTAAAGTTTAAAGCAAGCGATGAAGACCTATTCTGCCGAAATTTTAGATCGCTTTGCATGTTGCGCCACAGCTGTCGGCGCAGCAGCGTTTGATAATTCGGCTTTTTCAACTAGGGTGGCGCTGCCAGTGAAAGTATCTCTCGAACACCCGCTTGAGTTACATTTTTTTAAGATTCATTTATTCTGTCAGTGAAAGTTTTCAAGATGCCTGGCATACTTGTATTTGTGTACTACTAGGAGCAAGGACGCTACTAGGGGCTCCTGGCCTTACTACTAGGAACAAGAAGCTACTAGGAGCAAAGGGCATCGCTACTAGGAGCAAGGACGCAACTGGATTCAGTTTGAGCCGCCTGAAGCACGCTGTGAGACACCAAGAATAAATTCACGACAAGACATGCCTCGAACCTAAGAGCGATGGCCTCCAACCCAAGAGCGATGGCCTCCAACCCAAGAGCGATTGGCCTCCAAAGTAAGAGCGATGTGCTCCAACCTGGTTTGTATGTTTTTCTTTTCTAAGGCCACTCAATAGACCCTTAGACCACTCTTTTTCCTTTTTTTTGTGTATTTGCTTTGGACATGCTCAACTGCAGCTGAAGCTAAGTTCCTTGAGCAGCCAACACAATGACAGCCAGTTACTGTTTGTTTTCATTCAAAAAAGCTATCAACTTCCAAGAAGTGTGTAAGAGTTCCAAGGTTTCCCAAACAAGACTAGAGACCGAAAGCCTTGTAAGTCTGCTAGAAGGCCCATGAAGGCCCATATTCCTGCCCAAGGCGGTCGAGTAATGTCTATGTAAGTGCCAAGTAGGACACTATAGTGTCCACAAACTACGTCTTCCATTGCCCGAGGTGTTACATACTCTGAAGAGAGCCCACGTCCATATACTTATTCTGCCATCGGTGAATGTGCCATGCTTGATGGCATGCACTGATGACGATGGACAAAACGTGCTCCTGTCTTGTTTTGGAAACAAACAGTTGCAAGATACCGTTCTTTTTTGTGTCTGTATTCTTCCACATCGTCGTTCGCTCGTCGTGTCGTCGACAGTTTCAATGTTTTCGTCAGGATCAGCTATGGCATTTGCAGGAGGCCACCTGTCGTTGGTTGTTCACGCAGTCTTTGGGTAGTACACTACCCCTACTCGGAACTGGAGAACCAATCTGTTGATACTTCTTACAGGTCTGGAAGAAAAGAAGGATAAAGTCTAAAGGTCTAAAGAAACAAATGAAAGCAGCAAACGTTTCAGTACCGTTGTACCAACATTGTAAAAACATATGTTTGCATTAGCAAGAAGATAGTAGGCTGGAGGCCATCGTTAGTAGTAACAAGAAGCTACTAGGAGAAAAGGGCATCGCTACTAGGAGCAAGGACGCTACTAGTAGCTCCTGGCCTTACTACTAGTAACAAGATACTACCCCCCCCCGCGGGCGCGTGAAAAGGTCCTAGTAGCTTCTTGTTTCAATTCTAATTATACTATAATTCTATATAATTCTTGTTTCTAATAGCAAACATTGTTCCTAGTAGTACGGCCAGGAGCTCCTAGTAGCATCCTTGCTCCTAGTAGCGATGCCCTTTGCTCCTAGGAGATTCTTGAAGCTACGTACGAACGGAGCATATTTAAGTTCCGCTCAGGGAAGTTGAGGAGCTCGAGCCACTCCGGCAGCTCGGCCAGTGGGCCTGGCATCTCAGAGCTTCTTTGAGTCTCTCAACCTAATAGCGATGGCCTCCTCAGAACTTCGCTCTCTCACTGCAAATTAAGTGTGTGTCTTTTGTCTTTGTATTTTTGTCTCCAGACCTTTCTTTCAGACAAAGCGCTTTATCGATCGAAACGCTTTGCCGAGGGAGAAAAGGCGGCCTCGCAGTACTGCGTCCTCCACCTCCACTGCCGCCAGGGGCTTGGCCAGGCTGGAGCAGCAGCTTGGAGCGGGGATGGAGCGGCCTTCTAGTAAAAGCATGCCAATTCAAGGAAGACAAATTCATGAAACAATACAGAAAGGTCCAGAAAAAGAAAGACAAGGAGCAAGGGATAATGAAGTTCACTCCAGTAAGAGTGGAGTTTGCGCCGTTGGCGCTCTCGAATACCAGAAGGTTCAGATCTTAGTCTTGAGTACCCACTAGTAACAAGAGGCTACTAGGGGCTTCTGGTCTTACAACTAGGAGCAAGGACGCTACTAGTTAAGTTCTTTTTTCTCCGCTCCCCCACTCCCTTAATTAAGTAGGCGCCCACTTGATTAACTAAGGGAGCGGGACGAACGCTTCTTAAGGAAGCGCTCAAGGAAGCGCTCGCACGATTCATTTGGTTCCTAGATTTCAGGGAAACTTAACTATTTCGAAAACGAAAAAAAAAACAGGTATCGCTAGTAGTAACAAGAAGCTACTAGGAGCAAAGGGCATCGCTACTAGGAGCAAGGATGCTACTCGGGGTTCCTGGCCGTACTACTAGGAACAAGAATTACATGGAATTAGAATATAATTAGAATTGAAACAAGAAGCTACTAGGACCGTTTGTCTCGTCATTTGTCAGGCGCATCCGCGACCCAGACCGTCCCACACTCAACACACCTGGGAGCGTGGCAGCCAGCAGCCCTGCTGTGCAGTCAAGTCCAGGTGGACTCGAGAAATGTTTGCCGTATTGTGTTGATATATATATATATATGTTATATATATATCTACGTATATGCAGAAGGCCATCGCTAGTAGGTTGGGGGCCATTGCTATACAGCTATACATGTATCCTATCTTTGGGGAGGGAGTAGGCTGTAGTAGCTGGGTAAGTGAGCCTACATGCAATAGCTAAGCAAGTAAGTAGCTGAAGCTACTAGTAGCAGGACGCATGAAAGAAAGCCCTCGGACTATTCATTTGGTTCCTATATTTTTGGGGAAACTTGCTTTGCCTTGCTTCTAATCATCTAATCTGGACGAGCTGTAATCTGAAGCAAGAACATGCATGCATTTCATGTTTTGCGTAAATATATGAACCTAAAAACCAATATATGAACCTAAGAACCAGTCCAGTTAAGTTCTTACAAACAGAAGGGACCAACGCATTCTTTAATTCGGAGGCACGTTCTTGTTCGTAACAATCCTAGAGCCAGGCGGCGTGCGACAAGCCTCCAGAAGCAGAAGCCCAGAGGCGGACAACGCAGATAACTTCAAGGGCCTAAGAAGACAATTTAAGTTTAACTTAAACTAAAAACCAATCTTATTTTGAGTTACTAATAGCGACAGCCTCCAACAAAATGTGTTGTTTCTTTCTTTAAACTTGAGACCTCTAGACCTGTCTTTCTTCCCATAAGCATGTTTTTCCTTTGGTGTACTTTTGAGGACCTTCACTTTTTTGTTTGGAACATGTTTGCTTATGTTTTCTCTTATCCTATTTTGGACCTGTTTGTCCGAGACTTGGTTCTTTGAGCCAAAAGCAATGTAAATGGGACGCTTCGTGGAACTTTTAGGGTGTCGTTCTCCAGGCCAATGCACCGGTTCAGGAGATCGAATCGGCGAGAGACAATGTCAACGAGCGACAGTGCAGAATGCTCCGTTCGTAGCGATGCCAGGAGCCTCCTAGTAGCCTCCTTGCTCCTAGTAGTAAGGCCAGGAGCCCCTAGTAACCCCTTTGTTCCTAGTAGCTTCTTGCTAGTTACTAGTAGCAAGTCCCTTGTTACTAGTAAAGAACTAAGCAGGTGGCCCGAAAGGGAAAAGGTGTAGTGCCTAGATAAGCGCAACGGAAAAAAGAAGAGGATCATATACGCACGTGTCCAAGAAAGATTGTTGGAAACGCGAATAGTGCTTGCAATCCAATTTGATTCCAGGACTTGACAGACCGTATCGTTTCACAGATCATGTCGAGGAGGAATGCAGCTCAGAATGATTTCGCATTATTGTTTATTTTGCAAAGTGCATTGTTTGGGTATTGCTTCGGTGAGGCTGGTGCAGGAATCGGATATGGAAGATCTCCGCTTCAATGTGTGCCTTGGAAGTATCGAGGTAGGACCTTCCTCACAAGACATTCTTGGATGTTGTTCTTTTCAATAGCATTTGGTAGTAAGACCCTAGTCCGGAATTAGTTCAAGCAGCATGAAGCATCCTCAGGATGTCGATCTTGCAGCCTGCTTTGAAGAAGAGCAGCTATGGCCTCACCAGTTTTTTTCGTCGTATGTACAGCCATAGTATGCAGATGTCTAAGTGCCGTGGTTTGGTCTTCTTCTTGAGAAATTGCTTGCTTCAAACGGCAAAAAGTTGAAATGGTCAGAAGTGGATGGGATTGTAGGCTTTGAGGAAACCCAGCGGCTTTCCATCGAGCTGCAGGAGGATGGAAGACTCAGATGTTTGCATTTTTTTGCTTGGCCTCCAACCTACTAGCGATGGTCTCCAACCTCCAACCTACTAGCAATGGCCTCCAGCCTACTTAGACTCTCACTATCGCTGGCGCCTCTTTTCACAGGCTCGAAGTCGCACAGCTCATGCACGGACGGAGATCGCCCGGCTCAAGTCGGAGGCGATGCATTTTGTCGCGAAAGGTCGATGACAAGACAAGAAGAGGATACAACATCTCAAGAAGAATCGAACCAAGAGAAAAGAAGGGTCTAGAGATGTCTAGAGTCTAAATAACAAAGCAAAGGATATACATACTTGAAACACTTTGTCCGGAAGGTATCCACTGCAAACCATAGATGGTAGCTTCTCGACCGTGAGTGGAACAAGTGATGGAACGTGCAACACGTCATTGGACATGCGGCAAAATCGATTTGCAGGCGCAGACGTTGGAACAGAAAAGCGTGGAGGCAGAAGAAAAGGGCAGGAGAGTAGCGTGGTTTCGTGCGCGCATGCGTTTCAAACCCAAGACCTCAAGCGAGAATCAATGTGCATTTGTTTACGATGTTTTTGCATGCTTTTGTTTTCCTTCGACCGTTTATTCATTTAATTGTTTCTTCCTTCACACCATGAGCCCTTATTTGGTTTTCCGTCAGGTAAGGACGTTTTTCAATGTTGTGCGCCCGCAGTGGAGGAGAGCAGAAACGCGTGCAAGTAAAGCAGAGGCACGCTTGAAGTCCTCTTTACAGGAGCATGGGGATGTAGGGTGTCAGAAACTTAACACGTCAAACGAGCATTTCCAGACCTAAGTTCTCTTTTTGTTGGAGTGTCTGGAGTGTCTTTGGTTAGACCCTGGAAATTTTGATTATTGACATGAGTCTTTTCCGGTTCATTTTGAGGATCCCTTGATGATCAAGGTTGGATCAGAAACTGTGGAGGCCCTGCTCTGCAAGTGTCGAAAGGTCCAATAACTTCTCCACCTTCCGGCTTTCTCCAGAGAAGAAAACAAAAGGAAGAACGAATGAACACCTTTGTTCGTAGTAGCATCCTTGCTCCTAGTAGTAAGGCCAGGAGCCCCTAGTAGCATTCTTGTTCCCAGTAGCGATGCCAAGAGCCCCTGGTAGCGTCCTTGCTCCTAGTAGCGATGCCGTTTGCTCCTAGTAGCGTTCTTGCTCCTCGTTCTGGCTTGCGAGGTTCGGTCAAGCACCTCCAGAGCCAAAGACACGATGGAAGTTTTGGTGGACTGGCGAGACATTGTTGGTTTCGGTTTCGAAAGCAAAAAGAAGAAAAGCGGCTATCAGGAACCTAATAGGAATGGCCTCCAACCTAGTAGCGATGGCCTCCACCCTAGCAGCGATGGCCTCCAAGCTAGTAGCGATGGCCTACAAGCTAGTAGCGATGGCCTCCACCCTAGTAGCGATGGCCTCCACCCTAGCAGGGATGGCCTCCAAGCTAGTAGCGATGGCCTCCAACCTAATAGGAATGGCCTCCACCCTAGTAGCGATGGCCTCCACCCTAG